GGAAGTTACCGAATGCGCAGAGTCCGCGGCACCTCATGGCTTCCCGCTGCGCCGCAGCCGCCGGGCAGCCGCACCTGGGCCCGGCCCCGCCCCGCGGCCGCCCCGCGGCCGCCCGCCCCGCCAACGGGGGCGCACCTGCCCCAACCCCCGCGCGTCGGGGAGGGTGAGGTGGGTTGTCACGTCTTCGTTAACTGGGAGACTGAGGCTCCGGGAGGGTGCTCGCTAGAACCCAGGCCCGCCCCGCGCTGGGAGCCCGCTCCTCACGCCAGGAGCGCATCGCCTCCCAATTATTTGTGTGTTGCATGGCTTGCCTCAGCGGTGCAAAGAATTGGGAGGTGAACCCAGCCCACTCAGCCTCTAAGTCACGACTGAAAGTCACTTCCTCAACCTGTCTTCCTCGAAATCACACCTTACCCCTCCCCTCCGCCCCCATGTAATCACAGACTTGTGTGACCCTTCGATTAGAGTCTACCCGGTCCTAGAGCCAAGACTCTGAAGGCACACTGGCTTGTTCCTCTCACCCTGTCCCCCGGGCCTGGCACAGGTGATGGATAAATATCGGTATAGGCCTTTCTCTAAGGCTGGGGAGCCTGGAGATGGGGTGGAGGACAGAGCCAGGCAAGGGTAACTAGGAGGCCAGAAATGGGAGGGGTGGAGATTGAGCTTCCCAAGTGAGCACTGGGTTCAAATCCTATCACAGACAATAACTGTTGGGTGGCATTAGGCACTTAATCCTCCCAGCCCTCACTTACCCGCCCTCGACCACACTAGCCTGGAGCCTGCCCTGCCGTCCAGCACGGAATTAACTCAGAGTCAGGCATATTTCCCAAATCCTGTCCTTGGACGTGTTTGGTCTCATCCCCCTCCATTCACCAGTCCCCAGGGCCAGAGGAAGGCGAGCTGGCTCCCCTAACCTGAGCCTCTCATGCCCCTAAAATGCTGGAAGTTCTTTCTATTAAATGCTCAGGGAATGGCAGAGGGACCAGCTGGGGATCTGTCTGGAAACTGGAGGAAATGCCTTCCATTTTCCCTGGGGTCAAAGAAAGTGCCAATTGCTGCCCATCTATGGTGGAAGCAAACTAGCCAGCCAGGTCTGTCTGCTGGGAAGGGGGATCTCACGGAGGAAGAAACAGCAAGCTCCCAGGGAAGGGAGACATCATGGAGACTCCCTGAGATTCCGATTCAGGAGGTCTAGGGGCCATCGGGATGTTTATTGAGCTCCAAGGTGATCTGCCCACACAGCCAGGAGTGAGGGGCTCCCCTTCTCCTAGCCTTCCATATTTCCCAAAATTTGGGGTCAGAACCTACTGCATCAGAATGCTGGGGGCAAGGCCTAGGAACCTGCATTTCTGACACCCTCCCCCTCCTTCCCCACCCTGTTTGAGAACCCCCCTCCTCTCCTTCAATCCTCCCATCCACGCATATAGGAAGATGCTATCAACCCCATTTTACAGATGAGGAAACAGAGGTTCAGCCACTTCCCAAGGTCACACCGATCTGGAGAAGGGCTGTGGTTGATAAGCCCATCCGCAGGAATAAAAACTGCAGCATGGAGGGGGTGGAGGAGAATCTGTTGAAACTGTTGTCTCCAACAGGAGCTAGGAGGGTGGGAGAGTTCCCATTCCCCCATCAGCACCACCTGATAGTCCAGGGACGGCCTTAACAAGGGCATGTTGTCTCCCTGGGGCAGAAGGGAGACTGGACAGGGACTGTGTCCCGGAGTGCCTGGCTGTGCCCCTTGAATCTCAACTGTGGAGAGAATCTCCAGCGAAGCTCAGCTGTGGACAGTGTCATATGGTGGATGTGTCCTGCCCGGAAGATTTTCCACTCCCAAGGAGGAAATTAGTTTTTCAGGCTTTCTCGTGGAGTGAGGCTGGCTACCAGGGAAGGGCAGAGGATGGTTGGCAACGAGGGGCTGCCCTCCTGTCCCCACCATCTTCCTGCTGGTCCTGGCAGGAGAACTCCCCCATCCCTGGGACCATGTGGCCCACTGACCATCCCTCTGGCTGCAGTATCCCAGAGAGGGGGTACCTTCCCCACAGGGATGGCCACCTTCTCCCCCTGCTTGTGCAGCTGTGGGCTACTCAGGATTCTCTTTGAGCTTGTCAACAGCCCCAGCGGAGAGGCAGGCAGGTTATTTCCGTGTGATAGGGGAGCACACTGAGGCTCAGAGTGGGAAAGGAACGTAATTCACATGCCTTGAGTGCCTCCTTGGTGTCAGGCCCCTGGCCAGTGATTCTCAGCCTGGCCATTCAATGGAATCATCTAGAAAGCTGGTCAGAAATTTGGATGTGGGGCCCCACCCCAACCTACTGCACTGTCAGCATCTCTAACAAGCTCCCCTGGGGATTCTGAGGCTGGGCTAGCGTTGAATAATCTCTATCAGGCCCCCAGCCACCCCTAAGAAACATTTATGCTAAGTAAGAACAATGTGCTTGCACTGCCGAAGAAGCTTCTAGAAGATCCCCTTGGCCTGCCTGTCTCTCAACCAGAGTATGGAGTTGTCCCCATCAAGGACTTCTGGGTCCCTCCCTGCAGGTGGTGTGGTCTTGTCTTGCAGGTGAAAAGGGCAAATCTTAGAGAAGCCGGCAGTTTGTTCAGGGTCACACAGTGAGTGGGCGAGGCTCAGACAAGCCCCCAGTCACCACGCGTTCCTGAGGCAGTGGGTGCAGGAGTGGAAGGCAGAGCCCTGGGGCCTCACAAGCTCTCGGGGTTGAGGGGGTGGAGGCTGAGGTCCTGGCAGTGGGGGCCGCCAGGCTGTGACCGCGCAGAGGGAACGGCAGGCATAGGAATCCTTCTCACAGCATCTGGCCTCCAGCCCGAGCAGGCACTGCCCTGATAGGAAACCTCTTGGAAGTTTCCGGTTGGGCACCTTTGAGCAAAGCCATTTCGTATTTTTAGCTGCTGAATAGGCGGAGAAGCAGCTTAGGTATCCAGTGGCTGGGACTCCCCCATCGCTCACATACCAGGGCTGGGAGGGGGAACCTCCAGCAGGCCGGCCTCCCACTGCCCTACAAACAGACCCAGGCTGGGCAGGACAGCAGGGCCCTCTGTTGGGGTACAGTTCCCTAAAAATTCAAGGATCCCTCCCCACATCCCCTCCTTACTCTAATTCTTGCCCTATGCTGGTGCTGACGGCCCGCACCCTAGCGGTGACTCCACTCCCGGTAGGTCATAGTCTAGCCTGCTTCCGACTTGCTGCTGAATCACTATCTCCTGGGAGCCACAGGAAGGAGAGGGCAGGGCTAGCACCTCCCCCCAGCCTCACTAGAGGCTAATGGAATTGAAGAGGCCTCCCAGGCTGTGTCCTGACGTGGCTCTCGTTAGACCATTCTGCCATTCATTCTCTGCAACTGATCCAGGGGTGACTCAGACCACAGGTACAGTGGCCAACAATCCCAGGAAAACAGGGACATGGGAATTCCAGGGCTCAAACTGGACAAACCGGGACAGTTGGTCATTCTATGGTCCACAGGTCTGGCCTGGCTGGGGAAGAGGGGTAGAGTTCCCCCAACCCAGTACCCCAGCCCTCCCATCTAAACCAGGACCTCTAAGGCCTCTCCCTGCCACCTCCACCCCCTCGGGGGTTACAGTTCATTTCTTGGCCCTTCCTTAAAGGATGATGCAGTCTGCCTCTCGGTGAGGACAGGTTCAGTCCCTGCTACTTGCTAGCTGGGTGGTGACCTAGAGTTATTTCCTTCACTTGAGCCTCTACTTCTCCATCTGCAGCATGAGGACAATAATAGCGCCAAGCCCTCAGGCCCTGGGGAGGAGCAATGCACAGTATGCAGAAAGGGAACTGCTGGGCACATTGTCTTTGTTCTTCTTTCGTACCTGGGCCTGTCCGACCCCACCTCAGTTGCTACCCCAATGGCAAAGGCCTGTTTAAACTTGGGCCCTGCGCAGCCCCTGGCAGACAGTGCTGAGCAGGGGCGATTCCAGCCCCACTTTCAGAGTTTTGGGCTGCCACAGACCCCAGAACAACTGCTGGTCTTTGTCTAGCGCTAAGCACAGGGAAAGCCTGTTTCTACACACTGGCCAGGATTTGTCTGGCAACGATCCTATTTTCAGGGTGACCCCGACCCATAGGAATTGGCATACTCTTCTGGAGCCATCTATCGGCACACATTTGACTTCCCAACTCTGAAAGTGGCCAACTCTCAGAGCCCCAAAACCAAGAGATGCAAGGACTCCTGTTTTCATGCCGATGCACACCCCAAAGGGTCAGATTTTTCTTTTTAAAGTGCTGGGATCACAGGCGTGAGCCACCGGGCCCAGCCTCCTTTCGTCTCTCTTGGTGAGACGCGCTGTGCTCCCTCCCTGGACATACTAGTGAAGTGGCTGGTGTTGCAGACGGCAAAGAGAGGCTAGAGGGAGGGGGCGGGAAAGGCATTTAACAATTCATGTGTGTTGGCACATGACACCCCACCCTCTGGCTTCCCCTTGAAAATTCCCAGCATTTGGCCTTCAGTGTGAATCCACTTCATGGATGAAGTGACTGAGGCCCTGAGGCTTTCAGTGGCTTCCCCTGACTCTAGAAGCTAAACTGACAGTCCTGACCCAGAATGCTCCCAAGGGGCCATGTTGAGGCCCACCAGGGATTGGGCAGCGGGCAGCAGGCTCTCGCTGGAGAAGGGAGGTTCCCAGAGTGAGAGGCAAAGCCAGGAAGTGCAGCCAAGGCAAGGGAGAGAACAGGAGAGGAAGCCAAGGTGGCTGGGCCCGCTCTGCGGAAGGATGCTGAGTCCCTGCTAGGTGGCATTCTGATGAGCACTGCAGGAGCCGTGCCCTCCGCTGCCTGCCACCCCCTCTCCCTCCCAGCAGTGACTGTCTTGGCAGAGGAGGACACAGATGCGCAAACTTCCAGCCTGGTGTTCTCACC